ACTTGGGATATAGTAATTCATTTGTAAAATTCTTATAATCTGCTATCATCTTAATACAGTCATTTTAGAACCTTTCTTGCATGGTTCCCTATTCTTCCTCAAGTTCTTCGAGTCTGTTGGATTCCTAGAACTAGAAAATTTTTATAACAATTATGAAGTTAAAAAAATATCTAAAAGTCTCATGTTGAAGAAAACACTATGCACAAGATAATTGTTCATGTTTTATATATAGGTAGGGATATAAATGAAAATAGGTGGATATGGGTAGAAACTCTCGCTACCATCCCCATCAGATAATTTCTATTTCATACCCATTTTCATATCTGTGTGGGTATTCAAATATATTTTTTTAAAATTTTTTTACAGGTATCTGTAGGTACTTGCAAATGTTTACTAAAAATATATATTTTAAAAATATTAAACAAAATATTTTAACCATACATTTTAGTTATTTATAACAGTTTTTTTTTTCTTTTAAAAGTTATAAAAATTTACAAAATAAAATCTTCATAAAAGAAGTTTGAAGATTATAAAATTAAAATTCAAATGCTCTACACAATTATATTAATAACAATAAGTAGATTTAGAAGCTAAATTTTAAACGTTCAATCATATAAATTTATAGTTCAAATAATAATTATTAAGATAAAATATGTTGATTACACATAAATTGAAATAAAAGACAATAAAGTACAATACTTAACTATTATAAGTCCAAATAAAATTTAAATAAAATCAAATTCATACAAGTTTAAATAAAATTACAAAAGTCAATAAAAATCATGTTCAACACAATCTTGAAAATATCTTAAGTATTAAAAATATTAGTGGGTTCAACACAATAAAAGTTCCTAAAAATTCTATTATTGAAAAAAAATAATCTAAAAATGCTACCGTACAAAATAAGATATTGGGATCAATTAGAATACAAATTTTGGAGTGATAGTTTAAGACCCATCAACTTTCTCATTGTAAATTTCAAATCATAATAAGGAGAAGTTTGACATGCGAAATATTTTTACATTCCTGGTAATCTTAAAATAAAAATCTTAGTTTCTCATATTTGGTAAATATTTAAATAAAAAAAAAATTCCAACAACATAGTTTTTCATAAACTATTTTTATCCCACTTTCTCACAAAAAATATTCTCATAGGGTGGACATCCAACTTTTTCTAATTACAGGAAAATTTTATTTATATAAAAAAATCATAATATCCATTTTTAAAACAAAAAAATATCTCTCTCCTTCTATTTCTCTTTCTCCCTCTCTTTCTCTTTCTCACACTTTCAACTCTCCCCTCTTTTCCTCTCTCCCTCTCCCTCTCCTTCTATTTTCCTTTCTCTCCCTCTTTCTCTCTCAACCTTTTTAATTTAATAAAGTTGACATGTGTGTATCAGGCATAAAATGTCAATGCATTACAAGAGTTACTAAAATTAATGAGACTAAGGTTTACGTGAGGTGACCAAATGACTAAAGTAAGTTGATGTTATATGTACTTTATATTTTGGTTTTTTGGCACATTTGCTACAAATTAATTTATTATTTTAAATATAACTATATCAAAAGGCTGTGGAAGTATTGTATACGAAGAATCTATAATTCTACATTTACTTGCATATTAAGAATTGAGAATAGGAGCTAAATTAGATGCTAAGATATAAAGGGCTCTCATAATGGTATATTGCTGCGCTACAAATGATTTGCATATTGGATGCTAAGAATATAAATATATAATCCCCCCAAGAATTGTATGTTTCTGTGCCTATTTTAGCTTGGATCTCTAATTTACAACTGCAGTGAAGGAAATAATTGGTGCAGAAGTATCAACTTTGTAAGGTTATTATCAGATCATTGTAGAAGTTGGTAAGATGTTATATATAGATCTGATTTCCAAAATTTACATATGGCCTATATATTATGGTCGATAGAGACAAATCTAGGAGAATACTAAAGTAAAAAGATATTATTTATTAAGAGTTCGCACAGGTGGAAAAAATGGCGGTGTGCAGTCTACTACATGAATGCAAAATATTCTCCGCAGTGATATGTATTCCTAATTAACAAGAGTAAGAGCAATCTAAACTAGCACCTTAATATCCATATATCATTATAATCCAGCAAACTACCTGCATGTTAAGAAATGCTGAATGCAATTTATGTTACTACTTAAAAATATGGATGAGAAGGGAGGAGATGCACTACCTCTTGATGAATTGAGTAGCATATCGTATAACGAAACACATTAATACAAACACCAAAATATCTGCAAAAGCTTAGGAACTCCAACAAGCAGTACCAAACAGACATGATAGCATATGAATTCAAGAAATTTCTTAACTTGGTCAAAATTCTTTAACATAATTAGGAATCTGACTTAAAAGCCCTAAAAAAACTTAAATCATCAACTTTATATATTCGTATTAGACATGCAATGAGTGAATTTTTTTATAAAAAAAATTCACTTAAAATCCGAAAAAAATGACAAAAATCACAATCTTCTAGAAAACCCTAAACACATGCAATGACTAGGGATGGCAGGGCCCCGTTGGGACGGGTAATAGTAAACTCATCCCCGCCCCGCTAGATAAAAATTGGCTCCATACCCGCTCCATATCCACGCGAGTATTCATTAAACGAGTATCCATGAATTTCTTGAATACCCACAGATATCCATGGATATTTATAAATTTTTTAAGAAATTAAAAAAATTATATTACAAATAATTTTAAGTTTATATTTAATGTTATTGAAATATTAAAAATAAAAATTCAATGTTAATTTTTGAACTTATATTTAACGTTAGTTTTGTCGAAATAATAATAAAAATGCAAGATAATCAATAATTTAAAATACATCAATCTCACAAGTAAGTGAAAGTCTCATATCACAAAGCTACAATAATTCAATCTCATAATTCCAAACGAAAGTAAACAACTTAAAATACATAAATCTTATTGCTCCAATCAAAGCTAGAAAATTAATCAAATTTGATCCAACATAATTCTATAACATGTTTAACACATGTTGGTAACTTCATCAACCTCACTTTTGTAAGAAAATAAGATGAGAGAGTGTAGTTTTAGGGTTATGTGGTTCAAAGATAATTAGGATATTTAATAAATATTATTAAACGGGTACTCGTGGTATGGATATCATTTCCATCTTCAAATCCAAACAAAGCCTCACTCTCACTCCCTTTCTCTTCCTCTCTCCCCCTCCATTCTCTCTCTCCCTCCCTCCCATAACTCTATTTCTCTTCCCCTCTCTTGTTTCTCACTATATCTTAATATTATCAATTTTTATAATATTATTAAAATCTATTTTACTTTTTATATTTTTATTTTAATGATATTTGTTAATATTTTTTTAATCTTTTTATTTGAATGAAATAAAATAGTATATTTTTATTCTTCTTAATTATAATATAACATTTTTTTGTTGAATTATTTATTTAAATAATTTTAATAAATTTTAAAATTTTAAAAATAATTTAATATCATACTTATAACTAAATTTAAATAAATAAACATATATAATAAATTTATTTTGATAAAGAATATTTTAATAAAAAATATTTATAAACCTAAAAATATACTAACTAAATATAATTCCTAATATTCTCGTCAAAATATCAAAATGATGCAAAGGTAACTGGTTGTTTCAATTTAATGCATGCTACTTTTTATTTTTTTATTTATTACTTTTTTTTTACATGCATGCTACGTATTTCAAATCAACAAGCAAACACACTATTAAATTTTTTCAATACATCCTTTTTTTCTCTTTTAATGTACATTTAAAAGGCTACTCTACAAGATGTATTGGATTGATAATTTTTAAAACTATTTTAACATGTATGTAATGACTTTTAAATTAAAAAAAAAGACTCTTATAATCAAATTTTTATATTATAAATTTTAATGAATTAATATCATAAAAATTTATAAAATTTAAAAAGATTTTACAGAGTTTAAAAGAATAATATTATTTTTATAATAAATAATCTTTACATTTCATTAAAATTCTAATTCAATACACTCTTACAATTAGTTATCTATTAAAAAAACTATAAAATTTCTTCATAAACCATTATAAATTAATGCTTTTTTAATAGTTATTTTGAATACTTTATCTTTTTGAAGGTCAATTATTTATTTATATATAAAACTTCAAAAGTTAGTTTTTGAAATATAAATAGTTAAAAAAAATTATATCATAATTTAAATTATTTATTATAAATATAAAATATAATTCATATATTTATTTTTTATTTATTATAAATTTTAATTATAATACAATTTATATTAAAATATTTATTTTATGCAATGTAAAATTTTTATTTTCAAGTATATAATTTTAAATTATATATGTAAAAAAATCAACTTAAATTCTCTTTAACCTACTATCTCTGGTAGGAAAAATATAAAAGAGAGAAAAGAAACATAAAAATGTGCTTAATATATAGTATTTAATCAATTTTTATATATTAAATATAAATTTATATTTTATGATTCATTTTAATATATTAAATATAAATTTTTATTTTGAGAATATTTTTTTAAAATATACTTTTAGTTTCTTATCTAATTTAATTTTTATTTATTATAATTATTAATAAAAAAATTATAATATTTAAAATAAGATTATCAACAAATAAAAATTATATTTTTCCTCGTCATTCATTCAAATTCTTCTTCTCCTCTACTCTCTTGAAAAAAACAATCTCTAGAGTTGGAACCGAGTATGAAAAAAAAGACATCAGAGGTTAGACAAAAATGTTGTCTGAGCTGAGAGCATCAGCATCTTTCGTTGATTTCCCAGAAAAAACAAAAAAATGGTTGCATTTTTACTATTAAACTTAAATTAAATTATTTAAAAATAGATCTAAGCCATGAGTCTTAGCCCCAGGTCGCATCATAACCGTCCACTGTACATCCGACGGCTGAGACCGTTTCACGAGCCGATGCAAATTGCAAGAGAGGGGTGGCACACTATTATTTTTTTTATAGCAACGAGAGGTGAAGCAAGAGCAAACAACTGTTCTTCGCTTCACTCTCGTCTCGCTCCACCACGAAGTACGAACCTTCCTCTCATCTTCTCTCACTCACTTGCCACGACGTCGTTTTTCTCTTCCTCTTCGCTGAAACGCGCTTTTTAAGTGTCGCCGTTTTCTGCAAATCCAGCTAGGGTTTCACTCCACTGCGATCTCTCACCCTAGCTCGCCGTTTCGCCGTTCCTCTTCCGCTTCGAATCGCCGCGTTTAAGTTCACCGTTCCCAAATCGCTTCTGTGGATAGAAGAAAAGGACTTCGAATTTCGCTGAGCACGTTGCTTTCAGTTAGTAGCTGGTAATTGATTTGGGACTTGTTTCATTTGAATTCGACTTGTGTACTGGAAGAGGTGTAAATACTCTTGTTGTTGTTGTTGTTGTTGTTTTAATTGTTAGAGTTGATAGAAAGGGGATTTGAATTCCTTGTGCTTCTTGAAGTTTCTTTCGTTAATTTTCGGGGTTCTTCCACGTTTTGTGCTAGGGTTTCAAGTAGCGAAGAGTACCGTATTGAATTTTAGTTTTTTCTGTTATGTGTATCTTTCGACAGTAACTCTGAACTGGACCAAGCCGTTAGGTTTGATTGAGGAACTGTGATTTGGGGTTAATTGAGTGATTGGACATTATGATGGCAAAGAGTAGGCTTTCTGAAGGTTATTTTGGGAATGCGCTGGATACTGCTGGTGAATCTGAGGGGTCTGGTAGCTCTGGTAGAATAGACACGGAAATTACGGTTTCGGAGGATTCTAGTTTCCCTGCGAGGAAATCTATTAGTTTGAACTCGAGTCGCCGTGATGCGTTTGGTGCTCCTCTGCAAGTTGTTCCCTTGTCGAACATGTCACTTTCCCAGAGAAAAGATCTGGTACAGAGGTTGAGGTCTGAGCTTGAGCAGATTCGGGTACTTCAGAAGAAAATTGAACTGCAGAGAGCCAATGGTGTTACGCTGTCGTCCTCCAGTGATATTCTTAGCTGTAGTAATGGCAACAATGGGCATCGAGTGGAAAGCACTAAAAAGCCGTCAATGTCCAGTTCTGCACCGGGGAATAAATCAAAGCCGTCAGGTAAGGGTCAAGGTCAGGGTCAGAAGCCTCGCGGTTGGATCCGGGGATCTTCTGGGAAGTTTGAGTCTGCGGTGCGGTCTGCTTCACCGACCACTGCGAATGCTTTGTTGATGAAAGATTGTGAGTCACTGTTGAAACGGTTAATGAGTCATCAGTATGGTTGGGTTTTCAACACCCCTGTGGATGTGGTGAAGTTGAATCTTCCAGATTATTTCACTATTATTAAGCGTCCAATGGATTTGGGAACAGTAAAAAGTAATGTAGCTGCAGGAGCATATGCAGGCCCACTGGAATTCGCTGATGATGTGAGGCTTACATTTTCAAATGCGATGACCTATAATCCTCCTGGGAATGATGTTCATCTCATGGCTGATACACTCAATAAATATTTCGAGTTGAGATGGAAAACAATTGAGAAGAAACTGCCAAGAAGTGATGTTCTGCCATTGCCTGCAAAGCCAGACAATTGTGGAGATGTAAAAACTAAAAGACCAGTGCCTTCTTCAAAAAAGAGGAAAATTGCCTCATTACCCCCTCAACCTGAAGTTATGCCACCTGCAAAGAAGGTTATGTCAGATCAAGAGAAGCACGATTTAGGTCAAGAATTGGAGACTTTAATGGGGGAAATGCCTATGCATATCATTGATTTCTTAAAAGAACATAGTTCAAATGGTAGAGAATGCGGAGAGGATGAGATTGAGATTGATATTGATGACCTCAGTGATGATACCTTGTTCACATTACGAAAGCTTTTGGATGAGTTTTTGCAAGAGAAGCAAAAGAACAAAGCAAAAGTTGAAACATGTGAAGTAGAGGTAACTCCCTGCTACCTAACCCTTTTATAAATGAAGCTATTATCTCATTGTGTTTGATGTATACCCGTCTCCTTCAGTCCTTCTCCACAGGGAGATGTCAGCCTTACATATGATTTGACTTCTGGTTATATGTTTTCTGTTGCAGGTGTTGAATGATTCTGGACCAAGCAATTCGTCATTGCAACCATTTAAAGGTGTTATGTTTGTGTCTGTGTGCACACTTGCAAATGCATACTGTATTGGTTTTTGTATTTAAATTTGTTCTACTTGTAGGTAATGACCCAGCTGATGAAGAGGTGGACATTGGTGGAAATGAGCCTCCAGTGTCAAGCTATCCTAATGTGGAGATTGAGAAGGATACAACACACGGAAACAAATGCCTAAGCCCAGGCATCTCCAGCGGTAAGTTTGAAATTTATGATGATCTTGAAGACATTTAATAATCTGTGACTGTGGGTCCTTTATCTGTGAAGATTTTATTATAGGATATATTTGGTACATGATACTGGGAAATGTCTTATTATTTAATTAAGTTTCCCCCCCAAATCTAGCTTGAATTCCTCCTAATGGTGTTAGTCTTTTGTTGATGACGTTTTTGTAAGATGAATATTTCAGGAAAGCAATATGTTTGCAATATGTGTATCTTGCTTTTTAATTTTCATGTTAATTCAAGATTATGTAATCCTCTGACTGTGTATTTCTTAAATTTAAAACAAAAGAATTATCATTCATTTGATCATATATATATATATATATATATATATA